GGGGGGGTTTAAAAATAACGATGTCACTTACGATCCGACCTCCTGCAGCACTGGAGTGGGACATAGGAGGTAGGTGTCCCTCACCACCATAGGTCTCTTCACTGATGGGACAGAGGAGAGACGACCTTCGTGGTTATGAACTCGTCACGATGATACTCTCTGATCAAACCTTCACACACAGTGGCCTATACAGGGCTGGGACCACTGGGGCACTGGTCCCAGCTAAAAGCTGATTGGCCCCCGGAGTATCCCCTCCCCTGTCACTCACCGGTTCAAAACATATCATTAGCTAATGATAAGATTGGGCCTTCTATATGAATTATGGCCCCTCTTATGCCCACCCCCCACACACTTAAGAGAATTCTAGAATCGCCCCAGCTCACACGATAAGCCCCGCTTCTCCTCTAACCTGAAAAGAGCACAGGGATGAAGAGCAATTCAATCGCTCTTTGTCCCTCTGAAGACAATACGAGAAGAACTAAAGTCTGCAGTAAATTTCCAGCAGGCCTGGCAAAACGAGAACCTTTTCGCTGTCAACACGGTTCCACCCCAACATCTTGGGCAAAAAAATGGGGGAGGAAAGACTAATGCTTTCAAGGGGTAGAACAGGGAAATGTGATAGGAGCCCCTTGCCAAGTGCCCTTAGTCCGCAGCCAAGGCAAACAAGTCACTTTCCAAACAGAAGCTGTGCCAGTGTGGTGCCAGAGCATGAGAGGGAGAGACAGGCAGTGTGTGTGTCTGTCTGCCCCCGACCTAAAGGAGAATTCAGATGTCAAAAAATGGCAACATTTCAGAACCAGCATAATGTATTTTTCCGATAGTCACAGATATCCGATGTCACTGGTAACTTTCGCCATATATTTTTCTCCCATTATTAATTTTGTCATAAAGTCGATTAAAAGATTTTTTTTTTTATCTAAAACTGTGTATGGCAAATGGTTTTATGCTATTTGCTACAGCTGGATCTCTTTTTTGCCACCGCAGCACCACACTTCTATCAATAAACTCCCTGTGGCACCTTTCATTATTCAGGTAACTCCTGCCGTCATGAGAATTAGAGAAAAATTAGGCACTGAGTCCTAAAAAAAAAAAAACTTCTATCGACAAAGTTTCCCTGTGGGGGCTGTACCGCTGAAAAGGGTTAGTAGACCAGGGACCTATCAGTCAAATTTCTCCTCTCTGGTGTCAAATCCCCAGATATGCCTTTACACTGTTTTTTTTTGCTCCTAATTAGTGCTTTTGGTGATCGCAGGGAGCTGTGCACCAGAAAGCCAAGCGCAGGGGCCTTGTGGGGAGGGTCAGGAATTTTACTGGTTGAATAGTGAAGCGTATTGTTAGTTTTTTATTGTTTTCTTTTTTATTATCGTAGTGCCCTGGAGCTCATTAGAAGCGGCTACAATCCCTTTTTTTAGCAGACATTTGGCAAACAACAGTGGCGACACGCACAGCCTGGCTGATCTTCAGGGTGGCACCGCGGTTCTTTGAAAAGCGGGAGGTTCAGCTTTTGGGGGGGGGGGGGGAGGCCCCTCACACAGTATCAAATGCAGCCTCAGAGGACACGTTCAAACCCTCACGCACCCTGGCCTGCAGTTTAAACATGAGATTGCACATATTGACTGGCCATCTTACTCATAAATAGATTTAAATTACATTTTATAATTATAAAAAGTTCTGGCAGATGTGAGAATTCAAGTATGCGGTGCAGATTTTATTTGAGAAAGTGTAGGAAATTGTGTTGTTCAGTCTTTGCTCAGTTGCAAATAAGTTGTAGACATACATACATACTGAAGGTCAGAGCTCAGGGAGGTAGCTGAGGAGCCGGGGTCCCTCTCGGTGGATTTTAGGGCCCTTTGAGTGCCTGGTTCATGAATCTGCCCGGGTATCCATGCCCATCCAGGGACCTTGCTCCCAGTTACTCATGATTAAGTAGGAATTTTATCTACAGAAGGTCAGGATTTCGATGTACTGATTAAATACTACTTGAAAGGTAATTAATTCTAAGTTAATGGGTACTATGCTTGTCCATTTATGTGTCAACACATGTTCTGACCATCCATGCTCTCTGCTTTCCCACATGTCCAGGTGGTGCTCGGGGTGGGCACCATCTGAGCTGGAGTCCTGGTTCAGTCCCATGGAGGGGTGACATTGCGAATAGGACCTACGAACTGTATCATCGTGGATGTAACCTTCAGTCTGCCACCCTACACAGGCCAACATGGATAACGGACTCATTGCTGGACTTTGTCTTGATCCTTCATCACAGCTTACACCTAGCTTTTAGCAAGCAAGTCCATTTGTTTCTGTTTTCAGTAATGTTAGTATGACCAGGGGGGTTGGGCAGCCGCTGACCTTGGGCCCCCAGAGGTTTTTTCTCTACTTACTTGGAGTTTTTGGTTCGTCTCTTCCATTGTCTTCTGGCTTTCTTTATTTAATTTCTTTCCTTCTTTTTTCCATTCTGTATTGCTCTCTCTGTTGATGTTGTAATGTACCACAACACATCCATGTAAAGCGCCAATTCAAAATAAATTGAATGGAATTGGTTGTCCTTGTTCTTTGTGTGATATTCTAGGCTACCCATGTGCTCAAAGTGAATTTGCAGATAACCACAAGGAACTCAGGACGATGGCGCAGACCATCAGTAAGCTACCAAATACTGAGGGTGCAGTGTGGGTTCTAAGTATGCCACTTAGGGCGAAGACGCAGGTTGGGCACTTACTGACGGTGTAGGTATCGTTGATGCGGAAACTGCACAGCACGCTGTCCACATCGTGGGCATACAGGAATCCATTCCCTTTGACCACCACCTGGAAGGGCTCTGAGGAGAACCGGAAACAGACACTCACATGGGAACAGGTATATGATATGATCAGAGGGCAGATTTTTACATAATGTATAATATTGTTCAGGTTCAAGAGCCTTTCTGTGATTCCTGGCAACAGCGTGGGCCAGAAATAAAAATGATCATTTCCACAGGACAGGCATTGAAATTATAATACATCTTCTTAAGGTAGCAATCCAGAAATACGTTAACATTTAGCTATATTGCAATCATTTTTATCCAAATTACCTTTTTGTAACAAGCAATGACAAAAGATACTGCTGTAATACAGGGCTGATTTCATATAATGCTACATAAGATCTTCTAAAGGAATCCAAAATAAGGATTTATACACAGATGCAAACTGAAGTTCTTTTGTGTTTCTGGTTTAGCGGGGACCATTGAAGTATCAAGATGCAGGTCGGGGGACCAAGGAGGAGCCAGAGCAAAAACGAGTCACGGTAATGATCTGTGACCCTTCAGACAGATTGTGCCACTTCCCATTAAAGTAGCGCAAGTATCCTCAAGGATGATCATTATGTCTGATAATGTTTGATAAAGTTTGAGTCAGAATCTCAGCAAGAAAACAGTCTGATGGAAATGTCAAAACATTCTTATGCAAATGACTATATCCATTACACCAAATTAAGGCCAGGACAGTGATTCTCTCAGTATTTATTCTCTTTTTTTCATTGTGACGTTTTGAAGTCCGAACCGAATTGGCTGTAATTGAAAAGTCAAACATACCTCCTGCACAAATACTAGAAGGTTCCGCTGACAAAATCTCAATACAGGATCTCTTCAGGATCTGGGGAAAGTATAGAAGGAGATGCTCAGTTGTTCGATTTACTCCACAGTAGTGATGTTTACGATGGTGGACCCCAGGCATGGAGTGGGATTAATTAGCCGCGGAGTTTTATGTCCAATTCCAGCCCGTTTTATCTTCGTTCTGGGGGAATTTTGATAAATGGTGCCACAGTTCAAGTCTTATTATCCAGATACATTTATTTAATTGCTTATTTTCAAGAAGAAAATAACATACTGAACTGCCCAGTCTCTTTCTACCACCCACCTTTTGAGAAACTTCCAGTGATTAACAATAGCGAGTGCTTAGCTGTGACACCTTCGCAACTGCACACTGCGGTTCTAAATGACAAGCGATCACACTGACACGCGTGCGTGTGCCTCGTATTTGCGCGTTTATGCAGAGCAGTCGTGGCCTTAAACTCACTGGTTATCAATCTGAAGCACTGTTGTAGAATTTTAAAGTTGTAAAATTATTTTGTTTTTCTGACAGGCTCAATTTTAACCTTATCAAATTATTTTGTTTTCAACAGGCTCAATTTTAAACGTATCAAATAATTTTGTTTCCAACCAGCTCAATTTTAAGCATGTCAAATTATTTTGTTTCTGACCACCACAATAGCTACGCGGCCCACCGGGAAGTCTCCTGATTGGCCACTCAGGGCCTGCTGGAACCTGTCCACTTATGTCCCAGACTCTGCAGCCTTGTTTTTGTATGTCAAAAAACAAACATTAATTTAAATGCAATTTAATTTATTTAAGGAACAGATGATCCAGCTAGGAACTGACTCTGAAATATATGCTCTATAGCTTTGTCGCAGGTCTTTTTCTGACAGGTTGGTGTTGGGCTGATGAGTCATTGGGTATATAGCTGTTACCATGGATACACTTGCGTTCGCTTCTATTCATTTCGGTTTCACCTAATACTTGGCCTTTTCCTCTTTTTCCATCCGTTTTCCTTTTCTTTACTTCTCCCCCAAAAATCAAAACGTGTGATGATTGATTAGTAAACCGCTGACAGCTTTTGACAGCCATGTTGTGTTTATCTAAAGCCACTGCTTTAGTTTATGGTGCTTTGTGCTCGTTATATAGCAGGATATTGTAAACACAGACGTTGAGGCAGATGAATGTTGGCAGAGGTTAGAGCAAGCAATGAATTACCTGGGGGCACATTTTAACCTGCCGGTCGCCGTCCTTCTCTTACCGAATTGATGACTCCCTGCAAGGCCTCAAAGCCGTCGTTCACTGGGAAGACGTGATCTTTACTGTCCGCGATCGTGGCCAGCTGAGGGAAAGAGAAACAGCTGTTGGACCATTGGTTAAAGAGGGCGGAGGGCTCCTCTCAGGTCTGGCAACAACTCACCTGTGTTTCGTTGAAATCTTTCACCCCCACACAGAACACGGAGGCCCCCAGGCTGCGTGAACGGCTGGCCTGCCAGGTCCAGCACAGGAGGGTGGGAGAAAGGGAATGTTAGGCATCGGGGCCCAGGTGTCCACATCAACAGGAAGGGCTGCCCATAAGGGGGGAATTTCAGGGACTCTTGGGAGGGAGCAGGAATAAGTCCATCCATCCATTCTCTGCAACTCTGAATAGGATAATGAGTTACAGGAAGTGGATGGATTTACTCATGTAAAATCTCCCCACATGTCCTACAAGTCCATCCATCCATGCATTTTCTGTAACCACTTATTCTGGGTTGTGAGAGGGCTGGAGCCTATCTGAGCTGGGAACAACACAGGGTGGGGTACCAACCCATCACAGGGCTCATTCAAATACCAGTCACTCACACTCACCTATGGGCAATTTGGTAACTCCAAGTAACCTCAGCATGTTTTTGGACTGGGGGGGCAGGCAGTATCCAGAGGGATATATGGAGGAGATTTAATCCCTGGTCCCAGAGGTGGGGGGGGGGGGGCAACAGTGCTAACGACTACACCACTGAGCCACCCCACCCATGAGTAAGTGAGCATGGATAATGGTAGCTTTGGTTAGATGGGAGGGGGGGCAGCCCAGTCGTCTTTGTTTGTCTTGTATGGTTAGGATACAACAGCATTTACCTCATAATCTCAGTTCCTAACCACTATAAGTATTGCTCCACATTTCCCCTGAAGGAGTGATGGACGTGTTCTCCTAGCATCTAGGACCCTGCCCATCAGTATAATTCCTTCCCTCTGTCTCTTCATTGGCGGACCTGTCCTCACCTCCCTCTCGGCCAGGTCGAACTCATCCTCGCGGAGCTCCCCGTCCGTCAGGGCGATGATGACACTCGCGGTGCGGTAACCTGTCCGTGAGGTAAAATCAAACTCCAAATCAAACCTAAACCTCAGTCACCTCAGGCTCCTCCGAGGATATTCGCAAAGCTGGATATTCGCAAAGAGAACCTGAGAGGGCCATTATCTTACCATCTGCGTTCCCATAGTAGATCTGCTCACTGGCCTGAAAGAAGAAAAAAGATGGTGAACCATCTAACATGGCAAACTCAACAATGGGTCCCTAGTTCCTAGCAGGGGCTGTTTCTGGGCTGCTAGCAACAGTTTGACTCCCTGGTGACACCTTGCCTGAGAAGGCAGTATCCCTGAGACTCAAACTCCTTAAATCCTGGATGTCTCACCCTCCTGAAACCCTTGTGCATGAAGGTATCTCCTCCTGGCAGCACCCTCTGGAGTTCCTCCAGACCAGCTCGAATCTTTTCCCTGCACAAGGAAACAAAGAGAAGCACAGACAGGCAGACAGGAAGTCATGTTAACAAACCATTAGCTCCATTGTTCCATCCAGTCGTTTCCTAAGTGCCAGAAGACACTATGTTCCCACAGCCAGACCCTGTTCTGGAAGGTGACTGACTGTCTGCCACACCACAATGCAGCAGTCGCAGGTCGTTTACCTGTCTTCTGTGAGCTTCATGAGAATCCGGCCCTGGGTGGAGAATATGATGAAGGACATCCGCAGCTGCGGGCTGCAGAGAGCAAAGAAAAGTTGAAAGGAAGAAACAGACGTAAGGAAAAAGTCACACTGAGTGCTGAACTTCACACCGACCTCCTTATTGTGATAAGCTGAGATTGATCTTCCCATATGAATCACCAGGAAGTGCTCTCTCTAACAGTGTTGTGTGGCACCCTGATGTCTTAGCTAATACCTTAACTCTTTGTATACAACATATAACCAACTTCAAGTGCAGCAAAGACATGCCAGCTGAAAGCAGTGCACCACTGGCAAAAGAACTAAACCACTTCAGATTACGCAAAGTTCATCAGGCTGGTCACAGCTGATCACACGTTCACCCTGCTGATACCCTGTAAGTGAGAAGAAGGCACCAGGCCCAGAAGTCTGCAGACTAGCAGGATGGCGTGTGGAAAACAACCTGTCGTTAAACATCAAAAAGACAAAGGAACTCATTCTGGACTTTAGGCTGAAACAGAATGTACACCTGCCACTCAGGATAGCAGATCAAGAGGTGGACCAGGTAACCAGCTTCAAGTTCCTAGGGACCCACATCAGCAGCGACTTAAAATGGAGTATAAACACCAGGGCTACAGTGAAGAAGGCCCAGCAAAGACTGCATTTCCTCAGGACATTGGGGAAGAGTCACAGCCACTTTGCTGAAGACTTTTTAATCACTGCTCAGTTGAGAGCATACTGACCTACTCCATCCTGGCATGGTATGGAAACTGCACAGAGGCGGACAGGGCAGCCCTTCAGAGAGTGGTCAACACAGCACAAAACATTATTGCACTCCCCTTCCCTCCCCTGGAAAACATCTATACAGGTCGTGGTGTCATAGTAAGGCCTGTAGAATCATCAGTGACAATACTCACCCTTTCCATCATATTTTCACACTAGTGGCCTCTGGAAGGCGCTACAGTGCCGTACCACAAGGCTGAGGAACAGCTTTTACCCCTGAGCTGTCAAAGAACTGAACTCTCTCACCTCCATCCTGCTACCACCACCAGTGGTGGATTAACGCACAGGCTAGATATGGTTTAAGCCTAGGGGCCCCACGTGTGCCAGCCTGCAAGGGGGCCCCCATTGGCGCGGAGGGGGGTGGGGTTGGGGGGCCCACAGACTACTGTAGCCTAGGGGCCTCTGTACACCTTAATCCGCCCCTGACCACCACTCCCATCATTTTAAATAGCTGGACTATTTTCTCATGGAGATTTCATGCAACTACTGACAGGCACTTTAATATTTTATGTATTTAAAATTATGTTATATTTTTAGATTATTTTAGTGAATATAAGTTTTCATTGTATGTACCCTTGTGAAAAAATTGTGGAAAAAATACACTTAGCACAAAAATATACTATAAGTCTATTAAGTGTGTTTTATCCCTAAAAAATTTTACTAATGTGTATTTGATTACAGACATACTTTTATTCAAGTGTGCTTCAGTGTACTTAATTATGTTTAAATGCAAAATATATTTTCTAAAAGTACACAGAAGTATAATGCCAGTGTATTTAAAAAAAATATGTGTAAAGAGAATGCATTGCTGTTACACTTCTAGTGATCAAAGCACACTGTTAATACACTTTAGTGCACTATTTTTTCACAAGGGTATGTGTGATGATGACTGTGTGAGTGATGTATGTATCTCTGAGAGTTGTTTTAATTTCGTTGCATTGGCTGCAATGCAATGACAATAAAGATATCCTATTCCATTCTATTCTATTATATTCTATTACTCAGAAACGCTGCTATAAAATGTTGCATTCCTGTAATGCATTACAGAAATGCCGGCAATATCCAGATGGATGTAATATATTGTTCAATAATATCAGAACGGTACATTGCTTTTTAGTGCATATTCCAGCAAAAATAGATATACATTATGAGTTGTGATTGACCTGATATTGTATTGTTATTATCTTATTTGATTTTATTTTTTCCATTTTATATGCCTCTTTCATTTTTATTTTATTACAAGAATGGCCCTCTTTCACGTAGTTCCTTATTTTGAATTCATTCTTGTTGCTTTTATCATCAAGCAACACACTTCAGTCTTTACCTGATGAACTTGTGAGCCAGATGGTCAACAAAGTAGTATATCTCATTCCAGTGGTCCTGCACACTTCCTGACCTGAAAGAAAAACATACCATTTTGCTTAATTCAGCATATCAGAACTTAGCCTTAGATTAGCGTATTTTACATACTCCTTTTATTTTCGAGACAAGGCCATTTTTCATATATGACGTAGACCAGGGGACTCCAACTCCGGTCCTGGAGAGCTACTATCCAGTAGGTTTTCTGTCCCACTTGGCTTCTGATGAGTCACACCTGACCCTGGTATTTACCTGAGAACAGGTGTGGCTCATCAGAAGCCAGGTAGCATAGAAAACCTACAAGGGCATGAAACATCACCCAGCCACTGTGACATGGCAGCTCAGTAACTGTCTATCTGCCATCTGCCTGCGAGATGCCAGCTCAGTACCTCTCTGTTTGCAATCTGTCTGCGACATGCCAGCTTAGTACCTGTCTATCTGCCATCTGCCTGCGAGATGCCAGCTCAGTACCTGTCTATCTGCCATCTGTCTGCGACATGCCAGCTCAGTACCTCTCTGTTTGCCATCTGCCTGCGACATGCCAGCTCAGTACTTGTCTAGCTGGCTGTCTGTGACATGCCAGCTCAGTACCTGTCTATCTGCCATCTGTCTGTGACATGCCAGCTCAGTACCTGTCTATCTGCCATCTGTCTGCGACATGCCAGCTCAGTACCTGTCTATCTGCCATCTGCCTGCGAGATGCCAGCTCAGTACCTGTCTATCTGCCATCTGCCTGCGAGATGCCAGCTCAGCACCTGTCTATCTGCCACCTGTCTGCGAGATGCCAGCTCAGTACCTGTCTATCTGCCATCTGCCTGTGAGATGCCAGCTCAGTCCATGTCTACTTGCCATCTGCCTGCGCCATGCCAGCTCAGTACCTGTCTATCTGCCATCTGTCTGTGAGATGCCAGCTCAGTACCTCTCTGTCTGCCATCTGCCT